TTCCCTAAAATGCAAAACTGTTTTTCTTGGCATGCAAAACACACTACAAGAAGAAAACATCGCTATCAGCAGCAGCTAAATGCATAGGACTCAACTCTGTTTAGTTCTTTATTTCACTTTGCACAGATCTCCAACAAGCGACTAAACACGTCATGGTCCAGAGGCACCCAGCAAAGCGAGGGGCGAGAGGCTCCCGCATGCAAGTGGTGGGCAGCGGCAGCGAGCGGGGAGGGCCGGAGCAGCCACGGGGATTCAGCAAAACGATTGCCAGGCCTTGTTTAGCAGCTGCTGGCTGCAGCGGTACAAGGCGTTTGCCCACAGCGGTGAATACAGAGGTCACGGTGTGCGCTACATGGCCTCCGGCTGAAATGTGGCTCTGAGCGAGCTGCCCACCTCACCTCGGGGGGGTTGGTATGGCCAGTGAAGCCCTGGCTGCTGAATAAACGTGGGCTGGCTGCCCTGTGCTGAAAACACGGCTTATGCTTTTGTGTCAGAGATTTCCACAGCCCAGGGGAGCGGGAGCTGCTGCTCGGACAAGGGCTGGGGGTGCCGGGGACATCGCTGTGGGACTGAGATGGTGCACGGGGTCCCCGCCGTGCAAACAGGGCACCTCCATAACGCGAGAGCCCCAGGCCCAGGCAGAGGTGTGAAGACCACGTGCGAAGCCGGAGGAGAAGCAGCACGAGCAGGAGGCTCCCGCGGGTCTGGGCTCCCCGTGACGCCGGGCACCAGGCAGCGGGACGCTGTGGTGCGCCTTGTACGGCGCGGTGGGAGGCTGCAGTGCCCGCACAAAGAGGGATGAGTCACTCGGGTCACTAATGAAAGGTCACAGCATCCTCAGATTCAGCGGGAGGCATTTATTTCTTCAGCAAAACAATTTCATTGCTAAAGTACCTTTAGCTACAGGGACAACAGACCTGACAGGTTATCTTATTTACCAAGGACATCGATCAGACTGGGGAAGGAATAGTAGATGCAATTACTCTAGGTGACCTGGGAAAAAAATTGGTAAATATACCTGGGACTGGGTGCCATTGGTGAAGATTTTAATAAAAGAAAAAAAATCTGAATCTTTGTCTACGCTATGCAGCGTGTTCAGGCATCTGGGAGACCAACAGCTTGTGAAGAAGAGCAAATCACATAAATAGAATAACATTTAGCGTGACTGTGTGAGGCCATCAGTCTAATATTATTCCTGCAGTGCATGCAGTTATAAATAGGTGATGCCGGGTAGCGTGGGACCTGGGGAGAGCGAGAGCTAAGGAACGCGCTGGCAGCTCGGCGGCAGCGGCACTGCGCAGCTTGCAGCCGTAACGCATTTGTATGTGCGCTACAGAGCGACTGCGGCTGCACCCTGCAGGCAGGGAT